TTTCATTCAGCGATAGCTAACATTTATCCATGAAGCATGAGCTAACCAGGAAAAAGAAAAAACCCCGGGCTGGCCCAGTGGCGCAAGCGGTTAAGTGTGTGCGCTCCACTGTGGCGGCCTGGGGCTTGCAGGTCCCGATTCCGGGCTCACACGATCGCACTGCTGGCAAGCCATGCTGTGGTGGCATCCCATATAAAGTGGAGGAAGATGGGCATGGTTGTTAGCCCAGGGCCAGTCTTCCTCAGCAAAAAGAGGAGGATTGGCAGATGTTAGCTCAGGGTTGATCTTCCTCACAAAAAAAAAAAGAAAGAAAAAGAAAAAACCGAACCATCTCATCAAGAGATGCATATCCAGTAAAATTTTACTTTTTAATATCTACTTATCAAAATTTCTAACATGTTGCTTCATTCAGTTGTATACTGAAAATAATTATGAGATTAACTCAATTTAGAAACTTAGAGACAAGGAAATAAAAATTTTAAATTTTCATACATATTTTTGTGTAGATAAATATAAGAGGATCAACAAAAGTCTTTCAAGTATATTACATTAGGGTAAGATTCTGTGAGGGAGGTGGAATGGAAATAATAATTCAAAGAGAAAAATTAAAATTTTTATTAAAGAAAAGCTTGTTCATATTTCTTTGATGATATTGGCCATTAAATCACAATGGTACATAGATTCTATTGGATGTATTTTAAATAGTGATGAAGATATTTGAGTGATGTAAAAGTTTTATATATCATGTACTGGAAAGTACGTTTGCAGCTATGTAAGCTTGTGAAGACAAGTCTTCAATGCCAACTTAAAAATGTGTGAAAGCATACATAGCTTTTCAAAATTCTTTTAGGGAATATCTGAACAAATAATTTTAAAAGTTACTGATCAACTACAGCTGAGGAAAAGAAGCCAGAAGAGAAGTCTGAGGAGTGACCTGTGAGAGAAGAAGCAAAATCAGACAGTACTAACCTAAAGGCCTAGTGAAGAAAATATTTCGAGAAGGAGGAAGGAAACTTTGTCAAATGATGACGACAGATGAGTAAAATGAGGGCTGAAAATTGACTATTGGCATGGAAACACGGCCGTCTTAAGGTTCCTTGACAAGAGAGGTCAAGAAATTCTAATGGAGCAATAGAAATACAAGCCCAATTGGAGTAGGCTGTGCAGAAAATGGGCAAGTAGAAGTGAGCAACCCCTTTTAGGCCATCTGATATAAACGGCAACAGAATTGGAGCAAAAGATGGAGAGGGATGTGAAATCTAGGGAGGGAGAAATTTATGAATAACTAGAGGTGTTAATTACAGGAGCCAAGTCTTAAATAGGCAGTAAGGGATAGGATCCAGTGTAAAAGTGGCGGGTTTAGCCTTAAATAGCAGAAGGTACATATGGTTCATCCACTGTAATGGGAAGGAAGGCAGACAAAGATGTACGTAGGTTCAAAGATTTGGTGTGTAAAGGAGATTATTCTCTTCTCAAAGTTTCTAGTGATATAAGAGGTAAGGTCAACAGCTGAGAGTAGGAAAGAGGAGAGGATTTTGGAGGTTTGAAGAGTGAGGAGAATGAAATAGTAGTTGGAATACTGGATGGTACTTAGAGCCTAGTTAAAATTTGTGCTCATGAATTTGAGCTCGTGTATTTTTCCCTGGCAAGGTCCAGCTGTTCATATTGCTAGCACAGAATAAATGGAGAGTTGAGTTTAACTAGAACTAAGAATTTGCCAGCTGAGCTTCTCAGAGGGAATGTAAAATAGTGGAGGTGGAGATATATAAGTTAGTGATTATGGTGATGAGCTGTGAAATCTAACGTGGGTAAGTCAGAAGTGAAGGTATGAGAGGGGTTGATGAACAGTGAAAAAGTGGTAGGGCTAGTGGATTGGAGATTCCAAAGGAGCATCCTACAGTATGTGAACCAAAAAGAGAAGATGGTCATCCAAGAGTCTGTGTATCCCAAGGATTAACCACTCTATTGATTCCTAAATTTAGGTGGTGTTCTCTTTCTATACTCTCCCTTAGGGAAAATGGAGGGGAGGTGGTTATCACCAAGATAGTTCTCAAATCTGTATTTTGCTAAATCTCAGTTCTCCAATTTCAATGCCTGCAAGCATTGCCTGGGTGTTCCACCAGCACTTCACACTAATTATATTTAGACTCCTACAAACAGTTTCTCTTTCAAATTTACTTGTCTGGACTGCGATTCTTCTTTTTGACTCTTCTCTGACTCCCTCTCCTTGCCTCCAATTTTAATCATTATCTAATAAGTTAGCTTATAAAATGTTTATTGGATCCATTCTCCTACCTGCATTTCCATTGTCATGACTTTAGTTTATTAACCATTGTTAATAGTTGCCAAAACAGTCTCTTCTTGATAATCATTTTTTTCCCTAATAGCAGATTAATTTTTAAAATTATATTCTTAATAGCCACAGTCCCTCTCAAAAACTTTTAGGGGGTTTCCAATTCTTTTAGAATAATATCCAAACTCTGTAGCATAGCTTTTCCATTCTCATTTCCATCATCACCTCTTCTTGGAGTCTTCCCAGGACCCACTGAACTTGCTGGCCTTTCCAGTGCTCTCCAACTCCATATCTTATGCTTGCATTTCCCTCTTCTTGGAATATCTTCCCGTCATATCTGAATGTTAAAATCTTGTGGGCACAAATTTAAATACTACCTGCTCTATAAAAATTTTACTTGATCCCAGCTGTTGAAAATAATCTCTCCTTCCTCCAAACTTGCAAAATAACTTTCTGTATATCTGTTAGTCATAAAAATATTCATTTTTATAGACATGTAGCAGTATTAAAACTATTTTTGCATATATTTTATTTTAATCCGTACAACAATGAAATAAGGTTTTGTTTAGCACCATTTTATTTTTTTTATTTATTTTTTTGTGAAGAAGATTGGCCCTGAGCTGACATCTGCCAATCCTCCCCTTTTTTTGCTGAGGAAGACTGGTCCTGGACTAACATCCATGCCCATCCTTCTCCACCCTATATGGGACGCTACCACAGCATGGCTTGCCAAGCGATGCGACGGTGTGCACCCAGGATCCGAACCAGCGAACCCCAGGCGGCCGCAGCAGAACACGTGCACTTAACCGCTTGCACCACCGGGCCGGCCCCGTTTAGCACCATTTTAAAGATGTGGACAATGGGAATGAGAGAATTATTTAAATCATATATACTTGTGACTGTCACTCTTACCTTTGAATAATTTATATGCTTATTTTTCTTACTTGTTTCCATACTTTGTCCTCAATGCACTGAGTCAAGGCTTTGCACATAGTAGGCAGTCATATTTGAATCAGTGAAAGACTGGATTCATGGAAGCAAATTTGGGTGCGTGTTAATAGCCTTTTTTTATGTTCTGGCCTTTGTTAAGTCTGGCAGTAAGAAAAAGAAAATCACCAAAGCTGAACGATTGAAGCAGCTACATGAGGAGGAAGAGAGACGACAAAAAGAGGAAGGTACAAAATACACAGTGATACTATTTTTATATGCAGGTGATACTAACAATAGTTGGTATTTCTGTAATCCGGTCAATATTTTTTTAAAGCATTTTCAGAATTCTTTAATTTTTCAAATTTAATCAGTTTTATAATAGATACCTACTATTTATAGGGTACCCAGAAAGTTCTGTTAGTACACACCAATCACTTTCAGATATATCTTGAAGTAGAGTGGCCAGATAAAATCCAGGATGACAAGTTAAATTTGAATTTCAGGTAAACAATGGATAATTCGGGATAATTCACCCCATGCGATATTGGGGACATACTTAAAACAAAAAGAAAAATGTAATGTCCATTGTTTATCTGAAATTCAAATTCAACTAAGCATCCTGTGTTTTTATTTGCTAATTCTGGCGGCCTTATCTTGAAATGTTTATATTTACTGATGAAATTAGGGGCAGTGGCGCTGATTGTGCAGTGAGAATTCTGAAACTCAAATACATTAAACATGGGAAATATACACGAGCAAGACATACAGCAGCCTCTGTTCTTATAGTTTAATATTTATTTGTCAAATTTAAAGAGGACTTTCATTTGTTAAAAAATGTCAATTAAAAATTAATAAAAGTATTGGTTATTTAAAATACCAAAAAGTGATTTAAAAAATCTGAATATTTCAAGTGGTTGTAGCTTTTAGCATTAAGAACATCTGTGGATTCAGAGTTAAAAGTCTGTCCTCGGGTTCCATGTTGATTTTTTGTGTTTGACCATATAAATCCTTTTTATTTTTAATTCTTTTTTGTGTGTGTGTCTGAGGAAGATTAGCCCTGAGCTAACATCCGTTGCCAGTCCTCCTCTTTTTTCTGAGGAAGACTGGCCCTGGGCTAACATCCGTGCCCATCTTCCTCTACTTTACATGGGATGCAGCCACAGCATGGCTTGGCCAGCGGTGCGTCAATCCTTGCCTGAGATCTGAACCTGCAAACCCAGGGGCCACCGAAGCTCGCAAACTTAATGGCTATGCCACCGGGCCAGCCCCATATAAATCATTTTGAGGTAACTCGAAGAATACAATATCAGGATCTAGATCTTGGGGAATGTTTTATTATATTGGGTTAAACTCATATTCTTTAACATATATTTCATATTTTGTGTTTAATAGTGAAAGCAAGAGAAGATTAAGGTAATTGCTTCTGATGATGTAGATGTCACAAGGTTATAGAAATCTTCTGAAGATTTTACCTCTCCTTAATTACCCATGATAGATCTGTCATTTTTTATCGGTTAAAATCATTACTGGATCGCTATAAACTTTTGGAGAAGAGACATATAATTGTGGGCCTATTTTTTTGGCTAGAAAGTTTGACAATCATGTTACTTTTTTGAAGGAAATCTAGCACTTGTCTTATTTCTAGCACATAATAAAGGTTGTGACTTCTACAAAATATTCTACCACAACACCTTGAAAATATTTGAAGTAACTTTAAGGTCTTAAAAATAGATTGATTTAGTCACTGAGAAAAAATTTTTTTGGTTCTTTAGAGGAAGCCCGTGTGAAATATGAAAAAGAAGAAATGGAAAGGCTTGAAATAAAACGAATTGAGAAAGAAAAATGGCAACAACTTGAAGCAAAAGTAAATAAACATTAAAAATATTATTAATGAAGACTTAAACTATGTGGTTATCAGATCTGTTTGGCCATTTAATGTCATTCTCCCCCATAGCTACCAGTAATATTTAGGCCTATATGAATTGGTTTAACTCATTTAATCCTACCACAAAGTTGGTGACATTATTACCCACATTTCACAGATAAGGAAATTGAAGAATGGAGAAATTAAGCAGCTAATAAATTGCTGAGCCAGGACTTAGACATAAGTAGTCTTGCTTCAAGCCCATGCTTGTAACCATTAAGTTATCATTCTCAATCTGTTTTATTATTTATTTATTTATTTATTTATTTTTTGTGAGGAAGATCAGCCCTGTGCTAACATCTGCCAATCCTCCCCTTTTTTTTTTGCTGAGGAAGACTGGCCCTGGGCTAACATCCGTGCCCATCTTCCTCCACTTTACATGGGACGCCACCACAGCATGGCTTGACAAGCGGGGCATCGGTGCGCACCTGGGATCTGAACCGGGGAACCCCAGGCCTCCGCAGGGGAACGCGCACACTTAACTGCTTGCGACACTGGGCCGGCCCCCCTCAATCTGTTTTATAGATAATTAAAAAGAACTGAAAAATATTCAAATTTTACCTCTCCTTTTTTAGTTTCACTTCTCTTTTTGCCACAATTTTTCAGATCAGTAGTTCTGAAAGATTTTGATATCAGGACAAAACCTCATTACTGTTAAAAATTGAGGACCTCCAAGAGGATTTTGTTTATATAGGTTATATCTATCAATATTTACCATATTAGAAGTTAAATCTGGGAAGTTTTAAAACACTTATTATATAAGTAGACATTAAACATTGTTAAAAATAAACATTAATAAAAATAAGTAAATTCATTAACATATTTTTAAGAAATAAAATACCTATATATAATTATATATGTCATTATATATTATATATGTCATTATATATACATTATGTATATATATTATATAATTGTATAAAATTTATAATTTATGTATAAAATATATAAATACATATATAATATATTTTCTGTATTATATATTATATATAATATATGTAGGTAATACATATATGTATAAATATAATTAAATATATATTTTATTATATAATAATTATATATTATTGAGATATAATTGACATAACATTATATTAGTTTCAGGTGCAACATGATGATTTAATATTTGTATATATTGTAAAATGATCACCACAATAAGTCTAGTTTACATCCCTTACCACACATTATATATTTTTTTAAATTAGGAAAATGAGTAGCATTGTTTATGTTTTAAAAATATCTTTAGTGTCTGACTTAACAGAAGACAACTGGATTCTCATATCTACTTCAATATTCCATCTGTTACAATGTGTTGTTTTGACTGAAGCATATGGAGAAAATCTGGCCGCACACAGATATATGGTTGGAAAAAGGAGGAATATTGAAATAGCCTTTCAGATAATTGTGGATATTCTTTGATACTATACCAAAACTCAATAAGTGGTAGTTTCTTAATGTGGAATATGAAACCATATCAATGAACTTTTCATACTCTTACACTAAAACATTGATCTGTCTTACACTTTGAATAGATCTTGTGTTCATGTGTGATTTTGCAACGTCATGCATTGTTGCTTGGAAAAATTTGGTTCACTGAGTCATTTTCTTCCAAATGTTAACACATTTTTATTATTCATTATCAAAAAAGATCTTATGCATTAATATCATCTCCAATCAAATTAGAAACGTTTTTAAGGATTGGGAAACTGTCAGGCTCACAGTGGTAGATACAAATTTTCTAAAATTCAAATTTCTATTTGAGAGCTTGAATTTTATCATTGGCAACAAATATTTTGAGTTGTTTCTTGGAAGTGACATGCTCAATTCCTTCATTTTTGAGAGAATGTCTGCCCAAATACTGAAATAATTGCACAAATGTTTATTTCTCAAGACAGTATTGTCCCTTGATACGCAGCAGAAGTGCTTTATGCACACTTCCCATTTTATCATACAGAATATTAAAAAGACATCTACTCAAGGGTTGACATTTAATAAAATTAATAATTTTCACTTCTTCATCAGTTCATTCTTCTGTAAAACTGGCTGTTTACCACCCCTCCCCACAAAGAATAAGACCACTAGTACAGTTTGTGCCTTGATTTGCTCTAAGGCCCCAGCAGTTTTTTTGTACCATCAGTGCAAATGTGTACACTGTGAAAAAGGCAGATAATGTCTTAGTATTATTATGAAAATAGATTTGACTTCACAGATCCTGAGTCTTGGGGACCTACCAGGAGTCTGCAGATCACATTTTGCAAACCACTGTTTCAGATGAAACCTTTTGGAAATATCAGTTATGTTCAAACTAATTTTAGTATTCATTTTGAAACTAAATACTTCGCCCAGTAAATTTTAGATGCTACTTGTGAAATGCAAAACTGAAATTAAAGAGCAGATCAGTGTATCTATCCCCCTGCAACAGGATCTAGAAAGGAGAAATGAAGAACTTGAAGAACTTTGTTTATTAGAGGGGTGTTTTCCTGAAGCAGAGAAATTGAAACGAGATATTAGATTGCTTTCTCAGGTAAGACTGACTTTTTTTTGAGCTGATACTTTTGTACCACAAGAGGGAGTTATAGTCTGATGTCCTTTTTAATCCAAAGAAACTTTAAATTTGTCTGTAAAAAATATCTAATCTGACAAATCTCTCACATTTCTTGTAGCAAAGTAAATTCATATAGCTGTGTAGAAAACTATTTGTCAATAATAAGATCCTTGAAATTTTTATATCCTTTGACTCTGATTTAATTTTGGGGAATCTATACTGAGGAAATTATCCTAAATTAAAATATAAAAACCTTGAGTTTAAGGGAATCTAGTGTTGTTCAAAACAGTGTAACTTTGGAAACAAGATAGGTAATTATCAGGAGAAAAAGGAAAAACTGTAATAATATGGCAAAAGATGATTATGGTGTAATTTTAAGCAAAAAATTCTAAGTACAATATGATTACAAATGTAGAATTTGCATAGACTACAAAATAAATGGAAGGACTCATACTAAAATGCCAATGGCAATTAACAGTTAGTAATAATTTGAGAAATAGAAATTTGAGAAATAGAAATAGAAATTAGCCCAAGTGTTGGCTCTCGTAAATATAGGAGCTATATGATTAGAGAGGAAAGCAAAACAAAACCAACTTACTATTTTAAAAATAAAAATATGACAATAAATAGAATTTCTATTGAATTATTGAGGTTTATAAATTATTTTGATGAAGAGGAATTTGGTTATTTTAGGGATATCTCAAGTAACTAAAGTTATAATATGGTTTTTGCCTAAATTGGGAAAACTAGGTTATGAGAACTCATACTTCAGAAAAGAAGTAATTTAATCTTTAGCTGAATTTTCATCAGTGCGAACCTTCAAACGTTTTATTTCACAGTGGAAACACTACATTCAATGTGATGGGAGTCCTGATCCTTCAATATCCCAAGAAATTAATACCTTTATTAGCTTGTGGAAAGAGGAAACAAATGAGACTTTTGAGGAAGTGATTGCAAAGAGTAAACTAGTGCTAAAGGTAAGTACTTAAGTATTCTATAATTTTAAATTATTTAAATTACAAATTATCTGATATTGACTCCAAAAATAGAAATAAATTAAACGTAGTATTTGGCAATTAATAACACTGCTGCTTCCTTGGCTAGGAAGAAAAATATTTGCTAATCTTTTTGTTTTCTTTTTAGTTTTACAATTCCTAAAAACCTCTTGCCATCTTAGATAAGGTCAACATAACCTAAATGTGAAACATTAACTATATGTGTGTCTAATTCAAGCCAAAAAAAAAAGTTGCATCCATTTATGTAGATAACTTGGGGGGAAAAGGGTATGATTTTATCATCAGCTGGAATTATCTACTATTCAGTGATCCAGTACACATGTTTTTTATTTTTTATTTATTTATTTTTTTAAATTTTTTGTTTATTGCAGTAACATTGGTTTATCACGTGTTTTTTAAGGTTAACTATGTGTCAGGCACCTACCCTTTTAGGCACTGGAAGTACAAAGATGAATAAGAATATCCTCCTACCTTCTATTTCTGCAAATAGAATGGATAGGCTAGCCTGAGGAGCTACCATTTTATAATGCACTTAAAAATGCTAGACAAAAAATTTTTTTAATGATATTTAAATCCATTGCCTAGCTCAAAAGAAAGTAAGGGAAAATCTTGGAGGCCATAAAAACAATTCAGAAAAACAGGCAAGTCTGAAGTCAGTGGCTTGCTAGAGAGTATCTATCTGTTTACCCCTGGTGGCTTAGCATTGGTTCAAAGGGCCATCAGGAGGCAAAGCCTAGGGTACATGCAAGGTGGCAAGTTGGATCAGAGACCCCAAATATGGCTGGGAGCCTCAAAAAGGTATTGTGGATAATAGGGAAAAAACCTACTCTGCAAAGGGAGATGATAAGAACTCGTTGGGCTCATCTTTAGCTTAGTGAAGGGAAAACAAAAATGTCTCTACTGAGAATTCTTAATCACAAATGAGTCAGAAATCAGATTGGAAGAATTTACCAGAAGACAGCACAGAGAGATAAAGAGATGGAAAGTATGAAAGAGTGGTTAACAGACATGTATGATAGAGCAAAGAGGGCTAACAATATATTGGAAAAGAGTACTAGAAGGAGATGTAGAAGAATGAGGGAGAGACAATATTCAAAGAGATAATGGCTGACAATTTTCCAGAATTGAGGAAAGATATGGACCCTCAGATTCCAGAAACCCAACAGATCCCAAGTTAGGATAAAGAGAAAGAAATCCACACTTAGACATACCTACATAATAGTAGAAACTAGAAGAAATTCACTCCTCTTGGTCCTATTATCCTCTAATGCTTTTTGTTCCATTTCCTCACCACATTTTTGTGCTTCTCGCCACTGTGGTTTCCTCCTTCTTCATGTTGCTATAAGATGGAGTAACTCTAGACTCTGTTAAGCTCATAACATGCATTGCCTAAGTTAACCCAAACAGCAAGTTTATGAGATTCATTTTACATATGAAGAAACATAGATTGTGCCTTGCTTACAGTCCCCTATGAGACCTTAGATGGGCCATACTCTGACTTTCCAAAGGCTCCAAAGAGCCTCCCATACCCTGTGAGGTATTTGGACACCAGTGGATTCGTCATACAGTGTTCTTGCCATTGCACATCCTCTCTACCAGGAAGGCTGCCATGCCACGATGCTGGTCCTGGAATCTGGTGCTCTGTAGTTAGCAAGGAGGCAGCAGGAAGTAGCACTCGAGTTCACCAGTGATGAGCTGAAAGTGACATCTTCCTGTTACGAATGTGGGATACAGAAGTAATAAATAGTAGGGAAGATGAGAAAAGGGTAATAAAAACAAAACAGGAGGCCAAAGAGGAGAGTAATTATAGCAATAGGAAACTAAAGCAGGAAGCCTCAAGAGGAACAGAAGGAATTGCATAGCAGTGACCCCATGGTAAACACCAAGTTCCAAATTGTCAAATTTATTTATTTGACAAACTCTTATGTAATGCTTATTATGCCAAGCTTTAGAAATAGTAACTTGCTGAATCCTCATAATAAATCTATGAGGTAGGCACCATTCTCCACATGTTACAAATGAAGAAGTCAAGGCACAGAGATGTTAAATGACTTGCCCAAGTTCATGCTGCTAGTAAGAGGCGGCTAAGATTGAAGCCCAGCATTCTGGCTTCAGTCCATACTACCCTACACTACTATGCTGCCTCTCTTAATGGAGAAATTTTCTATACATTATCTGTGTCAGTGCTCGAAACTCAATTGTGCCACTTATTAGTTGTTCCTTGATCATGCTGTGCCTCAGTTTCTCCCAACACTTAAATATCTCTCCACACTCTTCTTGCTTGCATGGTTTCTGAGAAGTTGGATGTAATTCTTAACTTTTTTCCTCTAAAGGTAAAGTGTTTTTTTCCTCTGGTTTCAGTCAGGATTTTTTCTTTATTTTTGACTTTCTGTAGTTTGAAAATGATATGCCTAAGTGTAGCTTTTTTTGGCATTTATCCTGCTTGGTGTTGTCTGAGCTTCCTAGATCTGTGGTTTGGTGTTTGACGTTCATTTGGGGAAATTCTCAGTCATTATTATTTCAAATATTTCTTCTGTTCCTTTCTCTCTTTCTTCTTCTGGTATGCCTGTTAATGTGTATGTTATACCTTTTTGTAGTGGTCCCACAGTCCTTGGATATTCTGGGGTTTTTTTTCAGTCTTTGTTCTCTTTGCCTTTTGGTTTTTATCCTCTAGCTCAGAGATTCTTTCCTCGGCTGAGTCCCATCTGCTAATAAGCCCATCAAAGACATTCTTCATTTCTGTTATGGTGTTTTTGATCTCTAGCATTTCTTTTCAAAGAAAAGAAATTTTCTTTCTTTCTTTCTTTCTTCCTTCCTTCCTTCCTTCCTTCCTTTTCCATCTCTCTGCTTACATTGCCCATCTGTTCTTGCATGCTGTCTACTTTATCCATTAGATATCCATTAGCATATTAATCATAGGTGTTTCAAATTCCTGGGCTGATAATTCCAACATCCTTTCCATGTCTGGTTCTGATGCTTGCTCTCTCTTCACATTGTGTTTTTTGCCTTTTGGTATGCCTTATGATTTTTTCTTGTTAGCCAGACATGGTGTACTGGGTAAAAGGAACTGCTGTAGATAGGCCTTTAGTAATGTGGTTGTGAGCTAGGGAAGAGTTCTATAGTCCTGTGATTAGGTCTCAGTCTTTTAGTGAGCCTGTGCCTCTGGACTGTGAACTTCACAGGGTTTTTAATTTTTCTTATGCCCTCTTAGGTGGGAGGGGATGGCTAGAGCCAGCTGGAGTTGCATATTTCCTTTCCCACAGGTGAGTTAGGCTCTGGTAAAACTCCAGCAGGTTAGGCTCTAGTTAGTTAGTTTCCCCTGAGATCGGGCCTTGTTAAGAAGAACAGAATGCTCTAGCATATTTTAAAACAGTTCCTTTACCCCTCCCTCTGCTGGAAGCACAAGGGGATTTTTCTCCCATATTTATTGTGGGGCCCTGGTCAAGCTCCTGTAGGTAAATCTCACAATATTGTGGGCTCTCCCCCTCCCATGACTGCGTCCTCCTGGAGATTTTAACTCACAGCATTGTCCTCGCTGAGCCTCCAGCAATTCGTCATTTATAGTTCAGATTTTCCTGCCCGGTGCTGGTTCCTGCGGTGGCTCCTGCTCCTGAGTCTGCTCCCGAAAGCTGACTCCCTGTACTCACCTGCGGGTCTCTCCAATCTCGGGGGTAGGGGTTTGCCCTGTGTCCTCCCCTTTCTGAATCAAAAAAGAGTTGTTGATTTTTCAGTCTGTTCAACTTTTTGCATGTTGTTAGGATGGAGTGGCATCTTCCGAGCTCCTTGCAGCTGGGACGGATGTGCCTCAGTTTCCTTATCTATAAAATAGGCACAATAACAGTATCTACCTCATAGAGTTATGATGAGGATTGAATGAATTAAAACATATAAAGCATTTAGAACAGTTCCTGGCACGTATTAAGCATTCCGTAAATAGTTAGTAATTCTCCTTATTCTCCTCCTCCTCATTGTTGTTACTCCTGTTGTTCCACAGTCTTAGGTAATGACAAGCTGTGCCTAGTCTATCAACTTGCTAATGAAAGCTCTGTTACACATAGTCGAGAATTCTTATCATGGAGTTTTTGGAGGAAATATTTTATTTTTCTATGATCTTAAATAATAGAATAAATACAGGAAGGGATCTCTATATGTTTTACTGACACTAAGATGTGTTCCTCAATTCAGAAGTGATAGAACATCCCCCTTTTCGCTTTTTCCTTGACTATTTGTCAGAAGATTAATTTACTTTTATAGTAAATATTTACTTTATGTTTTTACTTTATACCTTTACTTTCTAGTTAATTGACAAATTGAAATTAATTTTATTGGAAACTCCACCATATGATTTGCAAGATAAAAATGTAATACAGTATCAAGGATCAATTCTAGAACTGCAGGAGCTCCTTCATCATAAGTTTAACATAGCCACAGAAATACTTCTCAGAGTAAGTGTGATATTTTGCTCATATGTTGTTATTAACTTTTATGAGAATTAAAATTTTATGGTATGTAATAAAAAAAAATCCAGTATCTTTTTTTTTTAATTAAAAGGTTGTGGAAAAGTCAGTAGAATAATTTAAGGCACATGTGTTTATCCAGATTTAAGAACTAAATATTTTATTTTTAAATAAATGAAACATTATTCTTATAGCTGGTCTAGTTTTTTTCTTATACTTGCTAAGGTTTACTAGGATCACTATGGAAACAAATTCATAAAACATTATATATTAGATATTCACTCTAAATAAATTAATGGACAAGTTACAATTACTGGTAGTCACTCTATTTTTCCAAAATATTTTAGCACTAATGATAATATCCAAATAATAGTAAAACCATTATACCTAAGAAAATTAATAATAATTCCATAATATCTTCTAATATCCAGTCCATATTTAAATTTTCCCTAATATGCCATGAATATCTTCTATAGCTTTTTTGTTTTATTTTGTTTTTTAGATCAGAAAACAATCTAAGGTCACATTGCTTTTGGCTATGTTGTCTCTTGGTTTCTTTTGATCTAGAGCACAGTCGTCTGTATAGCCTTGGTAGACTATGTTCTAATTACAAAAAAACTGCAAAGAAGACTTAAACTTCACTAAGTTTATTGTTAGCAGTAATATTCATATTATAATTTTGCAACTATTTTATTCATAGTGTAAGAAAATGCATTATAATTATTAGTAATCAAAATTTTTATTTTAAGAGAAAAAAGATACAGTATATAAAAGAAAAGAAGATTAGAAAAACAAATACTGTAATGTTAAATTTGAAATGGAAATATCAGTATGAACTAGATTTCTTTTTATTCCATAAAAAGGAACCAGGTCTAATTGGGGTAAATGGCTGATTCCAGGTCTGGGGCAAGAAAAGTAAAAGATGAAGTTGAGTTATTAAAAGATGAGGTTGAGTTATCTTGTGCTAGAAAGCAAATAAATGCTGAAAGACTAATGGAGTCATATCCAAAGGGACAGGACTAGGTTAAAGAGGCTCCCACTGGTCAAATTTGGGATAATTTGAATATCAGAAAGAATAATGACTATAATTGATTATAGCACACTGAATAAATACAAATCCATGAGTCCATAGTGATACTCCAAAAAGGAAGGGAGAGTGTGGGATGGGGGGTGGGGAGAACAGTTCTTCACAGAAGAATGTCATTTGATAAATGTAGAAGGAATGGTCAGTCAGAAAAATCACCATATTTCAATCCCCAGTGTAATAATTGATAAGGATCATCATGGCTACCTAAATAATTAGGTGAAAAGTTGTTGAGGAACACATTATTCTCACAGTGCCAAAGTATTAGACCACAGATCACTTACTGATGGGAAAAATGTACTTTGCAATGGGGAGATGTGGGTAGTTAGCACCTTAACCAAGGGATCAAGTCCACATTGTTAATAGTGGGACATCATATGCCTCCAGAAAGGATGCAATATGAAGAATACAACATAACTTATGCCTTTTTGCTGAACATGATTGATTTGAATCTAATTAAACCTATCTAGACCTAACTTCCAGTGTACAAAAAATAAAGGAGATAGAGGAGCAAGTTAAACAATATGATGAGGAAACAAACAGATAAATCTACAATGTGGAACAGTTCTACAAGACAACTATCTTAGATACTTCAAAAGTTAATGTCACAGAACAAAAAATGTGGGGGAACAATCACTTAAAAAATGGCAATAAATTCAATCCCCAATACTTTCAAATTTTTACATTATAGCAACCAAAATGCATATTGATTTATTTAAGCCCATTAAGAGAGCTAATTTCTTGAGCAGTAGGCATCAAGCTATGTTAGTGTTCATTAAAAAATTCTTGAGAACGTCTTTAACCTGTATATTTAATGTTGGATATCAAGTATTGGAGTAGTAAACACGTGACTCATCTGGATTCCATAAACTGGATGTTTTGTTTTCTAAACTTGATATGTTCAGAAATAGGCTAACTTTTGCAGTAGCATAATCTACATTTTAATAAAGTACAGGTAAAGAAGCATGTGTATAGTTAAAATGAAAAGTCATGATAATGTTAAAATTGAAAAGGGTAACATAATAGTAATAGATAAGTGCTACCTGGGAATATAGGAGCAACTTTAATCCTTAGACACCTTAAGAGAAACTGAGTAGAAAAGGGGAAACACATTTAATTAAGTAAATATGTTTGTATCATTTAGAGAATTTTTTAAAACAATTCTTTGTTATTTTGGTTGAACCTTATTTTTGCCCAAATTACTCTCTTAAGTAATGAAAGGAATCCATCACCTAAGTGGTGAAATAACTTATCCCAGTTGCATAATTTATGAGGCCTCTAATCTTTTATAATGTTTCATTTTTCTCTTACAGCAAGCTAGTACTTTAGCAGATCTGGACAGTGGAAATATGGAAAAAGTCATTCAAGATGAAAATGTTACTCTATATGTGTGGGCAAACCTCAAGAAGAATCCAAGGTATACCCATGGGCGTTACTGTAGGTCAAAAGACATCCGAGTCACGTCATGATGACCAGGCAGATGCCTGTTGCATAACAGCGGGGCGTACTTGGGAAAACCCATGTCAGGAAATCAGCCAACTGGGGTTTGAATCACAGACCTGCCATTTACCTTTGGCAAGTTACTTAGCTTTGTTAAGCTTCAGTATATCAACAGTAAAATGATGAGTATAGTACTTGACTTAATAAGATTGGGTTGAGGATTAAATATTAATGCATGTGAAGGTCATAGCATAGTGTCTAGTACAAATATATGCTGAATAAATATCAGGTCTTCCCCTTCTCTTTACCCACTTAACCTCCCTCTTCCCCCCAAAAATAGAAGTGGTAGGTGCTTTCTACATAGCAATATGAAGCTTAAAAAGAAAATTATCTTTGTGAACTGTCAAAAATAATACTTTCCTTTCATATTTATTATTTTTTAGATATTTAAGTGTTGTTTACCCAATTAATTTCAACAAAATAATATCTTTCTGAGGAATGATAGTGAGAGTGATAAATTCATGATCAATTGGTTGCTGCTTGATCTTAAACATTTCAAATTCATCGAGTTAGTATGGCAGTGAGTTATAGGAAAAAATTACCAGAATAAAAGTTAGGAAGCCTAGGTTCTTGCCCCAGCTTTGAAAAGACTAGTCATACGACAATGGAAAAAATTGGGCTTTATTTTTGATATTTAGTAAAAGAAATGAACAAAATATTCTCCAAGTTCCATTTGCTATAAAATACTCTGGTTTAAATCTAATCAGAGACAATATATTAATATAACTTTTTTCGTTGTAAAATATGTTACATACAGAATAGTGAAGGAAATTAATCTGTATAATTTTAAAAGAATAAATGTAAAATGAATAGCCTTATATTAACTACCCAGGATTATGAAGAGAATTAGGTGGTATCTTTTACTAAGGTCAGGAATAGTGGAGGGAGAACAAGTTTTGTTTTATTTTGCTGGTGATGGTCAGGGGGGTTGGAGGGACGATGAGTTCAGTGTTGGACTTGTTGGGTTTAAAGTACCTATGAAATGTGAAAGTGCAGCTGTCTGAAAGTGTTGAGAGAAATCTGAGTTGGAGATATATTTTTTGGAGTCATTAGCATATAGATCAATAGTTTTTAACTACTGGGGAGTCATAGACTTATGAACTTTATGTTATTACTTATGCTAACGCATATGTAAGGGCATTTTTGGACCTCTTCAAGTCTGTTCAGGGATGCTTCTTCCCCCTACGCCACTCCAGGAAACATAGAATTAAAACTCCTGATAATATAAACAATAATCAAAGCCATAGAAATAATAATATCCAAGGGTATTATGAATGTAAGGGAGAAAAAAGGGGGCCTAGGATGGAGAGGTGAGTAATATCGACATTTAAGGAGTGGTTAGGAAGAAGGCCATAGAGGGGAAGCAGAGAAGCCGCTGCCAGGGATGGAAGAGAAGAGTGTGGGATCATGGATCCCAAGAGAGTGTTTTCAGAAGGGTAACATCAGCAACTGGGGCCAAATGCTGCAAAGAAAGCAAGTATGGGTTGGGACTCAAAACTGGCAAAACTAAAGTGGAGAGAAATGCTGCTTAAATATAAATTTGCAGCACACTTAGAGTTTCCTCGGGCCTCATCCTTTTTTTTGTTAAAATTAATTATTAACAGGCACAGAAGTGTCCGATTCTCTGAAACACAAGTTGGATTTGAAATTCCAAGGATATTAGCAACAAGTGACATTGCTCTACGACTCCTGCATACTCGCTATGATCATGTCACGCCACTGCATCCTGTTCCAACAGCTTTACAAGAACGTACTTCCACAATAACTAACATTGCTGGAGAGGAAGATAAGAATTTAGAAGCAGCAATCAGTGAAGAGTTCCAAGATGAGTGTAAACAACAAGAAAATGAATCTAACTCAGTTCATGAGGAAGAAATACAAGTTGAGCCACCAGGTGATATTGAAGTACCAATGGTAGGCCACATTTAAATGCATATGTTTTTTCTTCATGCAACAAGTGTTATTAGATTCCCTTGAAGCATTCTCAAGATTTTTTCCTAAAGAACTAGAAATTGTCTGAAAGCCACTTGCTTGCCAATGGCTTAATTTTGAATGTGTATTTTTTTATTCTTGCTTTCTATTAGTAGTTAGTATTCATAGTTGAGCCTGTTGCTTCAACATCCTGAAGTTCAGCACAGGAATTGCTTGTTTTTATTTTAGTTACACTCCTGAAAAGCTTTGAAGCAATTTAATTTTTGCGTATTTATTGTATTTCAAACTCATTTAAAGGAACTTGCCATTAGATGGAAACTCCCAGTAAGTACTTTCACAAACTGAGGGATTATCTTACATTACTCTGATACTTTCTCAGCTTTTGGTTTTGTAAGAAAGAATTTTATGAAGTAAAAATTGATTTTCTTAAACTATTGTACTCCTCTCTTAAAACTTGACATCTTTAGATATAACAACATATTATTTGAACAATTTAATAATCAAATTCCTTTAGTTGGTTTCTATTCTTTTTTCTTTCTATCTCCAGGATTTTCAAGTTACTTACTTATTATGTTAGAGTAAATTGTCTCTTTAGAATTTAGTGTTATTTTCTCAGAACTAAGCAGATTTTTTGTTTGGCCATAGACAATTTGCATTTTAGGAAGGACCAGAAATAGCAGGTTTTCCCTCAAGTGCTTAAGATATGAAATGTAATAGTTTATTTTCTTTAAACACAGGTAAGGGTTAAGAATTAGATTGAATACAAATTTAAATCAGAATAGGAATTATTAGATATTCTAAGAACATATTTAATTGAAAAATTCCATTTTAAATATTACACCAGAATCAAAAATTATAGATTATATGGCAATATACAAAAGGATATGACATGACAGTTAGTGCAAAGAATAGTATTTAGAATATGATTACAACCATGTAAAAGTCAAAAAGACATAAGGGGAAGAGAACTCAGAAACCTGAATACAGCTGATATTTTACAGAGGTGGGAAATAGGCAATTTGTTTTTCTTTAAAAATTTGTCACTTTTTAAAAAATGTTCTTTGAGCAATCCAATAGCTTATTTAAAATAAAAAATTTCATTTTACCTCTCAGGTAGCATGGTTGCTTGACTAGAATTCAACAATATTTCCAGTTCTCTTCCCTTTCCTGAACATAAGGGATGATTACACGCCTCATTCCCTTGAAGTTAGGTGTGACTGTGACTTGCTTTAGCTAATAAGATCTGAGTGGAAGGGACATACTGATTTCCAGGGGGCAAAAAATAATGAGTAAGTGGGCCCTGGACTTAACATCATTTAAATATGTAGTAAAAACTAAAATGAAAATACATTAACTTAAAATGAAATTTGGCAGGATTTGTGATTGAAAATTCATGAAAACAAAGAATAAATAAAAAGATATCAAAATTCTTATATGAAAACAGTATATAAAATGTTTGGTCTTGATCTGATAAAAATATTAGATAATTTCTCTCCTTCAAGTTCCTTGTTCATAATTAATATTTTATGAAAACCCATCAACATTTTACCCAAGAATTTCACATTATTTATTTGAAAATTGTGAATAAGAATTAGAAAACATATAATTTGAAGTATTACTTGAATTTACATGGTTTATGCAATTCTTTCTTAGGCACATCTCTCAGTTAAAGCACCCTCATGCAGTGATGAGTTATTATAGTTCCATTAATTTTGGAAATAGTTTTATATTACAAATATAAGCGTATGAATTAACTGTAATACTAAACAGTGCAGTTATATATTTTTCTCAAGGCCTGTCATCTACTACAGTAAGGAGTCATTTCCTTTACTCTCAACCAGTGAGCTGGAAGGTACCAAATTAAGCTTTCCTCATTTGAATGGCCCTTACCAATGTGTTTAACTACATCTGGTTTTTCTGTTATTATTTAATGTTTTATTGAACAGTTTTGAACAACTTATAATGATGACTACAGGTATGCCAATGCAAATGTTGATAATGCCACAAAAGTACACCAAGGAAAAGCATTGGTGTAATGATAAAATGCATGTTTTATGGAATATTGAGAGTGTCCTCAAATAAGTAGTCTAGGAAACTCAGAGTAAAGATCAGCAGACAATTAGTGATATGAAGTAGTTATACTCCATGAAACTTCTCCACAGCCTGAGAAGCTTGACCAAGAATTGTGTGAATGGTAGATTGAGGAACCTAGCTGGAGGAACTTTATGTTATCAGGGGATTTAAAAAGAGAAAATTGCCTAGGAGATGAAAATAACATTTAATTCAGTTAGCACTCCTGTTTCCAGAACCAACCCTCTCATCACACCAAACGTATATGTGTGTAGATGCTTATGCTTATGTGTATGTGCTCTTTCATCCTTCCAAAACCCCATAGCATTCTGAAAAAGTTAATATGCATAATGCTGGAGTATTTATGATTTCCACAGAAGCAGAAGAATCCCATAGTAGTGGTTAAGTGTACCAAGGCAGGAAGGAAAAGCTGTCTCCTGTGCTGAAGGAGGATTGTTGTGGGGAGGAAGGGCAGTACGTGCATAGAGTGAAGAATCCCCAACTCAAAACCACTTGACCCGGCCGACCCCGTGGCTTAGCGGTTCAGTGCGTGCGCTCCACTGCTGGCGGCCTGGGTTCGGATCCTGGGCGCGCACCGATGCACTGCTTCTCTGGCCATGCTAAGGCGGCGTCCCACATTCAGTAACTAGAAGGATGTACAGCTATGACATACAGCTATCTGCTGGGGCTTTGGGGAAGAAAAGGAGGAGGACTGGCCATAGATGTTAGCTCAGAGCCGGTCTTCCTCAGCAAAAAGAGGAGGATTGGCATGGATGTTAGCTCAGGGCTGATCTTCCTCGGGGGGAAAAAAAAAAAAACAAACACTTGCCCTGCTAAGCTGGGTAGGAAAGGAGAGAGAGCAGACATAAACAATTGTCAACTGGGCCTACACTTGCCACTAATTCTGAACAGTGTCAACCACCTTTTGTAAGTGAGAGTTACCTGCAGGGGGGCAAAAATCACCAGATTTATAAAGAGAATCAGCAGCTCAAAAGAGGGGACAAAGATAACTCAATGGAATTTATGGCGGGGAGTGGGGGGGTTGGTGGGGAGTAAAATGGTGGAAAGAAGTAGGAGGTCCAAGGTCTGTATAAAAGAAGTTCCAGAAATTGAGAAGGAAAAGGATGAGTTTAATATAATAATTGGCACTGGGACAGCTGGCTAAGATTTGAAATAAAATAAATTTCTATTCATACTTCACTCTACAGACTTAAAAAATAACAGATTAAAGGTTTAAATATAAAAACAAACTAACCAAAACTCATAAAATAATAAAAGTATTTGAAGAGAACATAAGGAAGTTATTTTATCTTTACTGAGAAGGTCTTTCTTACTTATCAGTGCATCAAAACCAAAACCATAAACCATTTGCGTAGCCAAATAACCTCACTATAATATACAATGAAAGACAATGAACTGAGAAAAATATTTAAACTTATGTATAAAACAAAGGGTTAATATCCTAAAATAAAGAACTCATACAAATTGCTAAGAAGAGAATTTCCTAATATAAAATTAGGCAAAGGACTTGAGTAGACAGATACAAAGAGAAATGCAACTAGCCAATAAATATCTGAAAAGATACTCAACCAAATAAGTAATCAAATTAGAGCCAACATTATATCATTTCTTCTTATCAGATTGAGCATGACGGGGAGCAGGCATTTTCACATACTGTGGATAGAAGTGTAAATTCGTACGATCTTTCTGAAGGGCAATTTGGCACTATGTAAATGTACTATTATTAGTGATTTTAATTTTAGTAATTTATTATTATGAAATAATAAGACAAATAAAAATGAATATACTATGATGTTCATTGAAGTATTTTTTATAGTAGCAAATATAGTCCACAGATTAATTATAAAATATTCATCAGCCAAATATTAGTAGCCATTCAACATGATATAGATTTTATATACTTTTTTAATTTTTGAATTTTTAATTGAGATAGTATTGACATATAATATTATATTAGTTTCAGGTGTACAATAAAATCATTTGATATTTGTATAAACTGTGAAATGATCACCACAATAAGTTTAGTTAACATCCATCACCACACGTAGTTAGAAAATTTTTTTCTTGTGATGAGAACTTTTAAGATCTACTGTCTTAGCAACTTTCAAATGTACAGTAATATACAATACAGTATTATTAACTGTAGGGACCATGCTGTACATTACATTCCCAGGACTTATTTATTTTATAACTGGAAGTTTGTACCTTTTGGCCCCCCTCACCCATTTCACTCAGCCCCTACCTCTGGCAACCACCAGTCTGTTCTCTGTATCTATGAGTTTGATTTTTTTTTTTTTTTTGGTTCCACATATAAGTGAGATCATACAGTATTTGTCTTTCTCTGTCTGACATATTTCACTTAGCATAATGCCCTCAAGGTCCATCCGTGTTGTCACAAAGGGCAAGATTTCCTTCTTTTATATGGCTGAATAATATTCCATTGTGTGTGCCACATATATGTAGCACATTTTCTTTATCCATTCATCCACCAATGGACTGTTAGGTTGCTTCCCAGTTTTGGCTGTTGTAAATGATGCTGCAATGAACACGGGGTGGGTATATTTTTTTAAATTAGTGTTTTCATTTCCTTCAGATAAATACTCAAAAGTGGAATTGCTGGATCGTATGGTAGTTCTATTTTTAATTTTTTTCAGGAAACTTCATACTGTTTTTCATGGTGGCTCCGCCAGTTTACATTCCCACCAACAGTGCACAGGGTTCCCTTTTCTCCACATCCTCACCAACACTTGTTATTTCTTGTCTTTTTGATAATAGCTATTCTAACAGATGTGAGGTGATATCTCATTGTGGTTTTGATTTGCATTTCCCTGATGGTTAGTGATGTTGAGCACCTTTTCGTGTACTTGTTGGCCATCTGTATGTCTTCTTTG